AGAGCCTAAGATGATTGAAATCTAGCTTAAGGATTACTAGAATCAAGGATTTAAGATATAAAAAAATGATTCAACTTGTAAATTATATAAAGTTAAGGAACTATGAATTTAGAGAATATAGATCCTACACTATAATACCAGAAACCCAGAATATCATATAATGTACTTAACAGAATATAAGTTATCTCACCAGTACGGTAATATATAGAATCTTTGAGATGTAGGATGCTCTAATTTTCTCTACTACTTCACTATCAAAAAACTATAAAATTGATTAATAATACAAATACTCTGATATATGAATAATTAATAGAGTCAATCAAAAGTGATAGGAGGAATTAGTAAATTCCAAGATGCAGAGAGAGATTAAATAAAAAATTAAAAATAAAAAATAAAAAATATATAAGTTTCGCTGATATAAATTTCGTCTATATTATGAATTTCATTTACTCATAAATTATGTAATTTGATTGGTTAATTGTCATGAAAAATCACGAGTAAATCAACAAAAATTAGCCAATCAGATGAATGTCTTCCTATGAGTTTAGGGGTGGGTTTTATAATAAAAACAATAATTGTCTCAGATTATAATGAAATCGGATTAAAATAAAATAAAAGATTTCTATTTGACTCTCTAAAACCCATTTATACTTGTTTATTATAAAACCTGCCTCTAAACCCTAATCCTAAACCTAAAAAAATGCTAAAAAAAATGCACCCCAAAAATTTGTATTTTTTGGTGGCTTGTCTATTTTACACTATCGCTCATTTTATTTTAATCTGATTTCATTTTAATCTGCCACAATAATTGATGATCCTATTACAGTATTATCACGAGACTGCTAACCACAAATATGAAGTTTAATTGGACAATATAATCTTAATCAAATTGATGATCCTATTATCACGAGACTATGAACCTCAAATATCGATATGAAACTGTGAACCACAAATATGAATAATAATTAATATTTGTACGTAGCAAAAAATATTACTACGTACTATACGTAGTAATGTTTTATAGTAATTTGTTAAGATTTAGTAAAGCTAGAAGGCTAAAAGCTAGAGTTAAAAATAAAAAGTCTTTGAAATGCATAATTAGAATATCAACCCTTTTTATAACAAACTGACAGGAAAAGTTCATTATAGAAAATTACTATGTTTTCTTAAAAATTCATAACACTTTTTAAGTCAAATTACTACGTATGAATTTTGAGTTCATTATACGTATCCAGAGTTCGTTACTGTATATCTAGAGTCGACTGTATTAATTACTTAACTAGTCTTTGAAAAGCAATTATGGTGATAAACACCGCTGGTATAATTTAGTAAAACGTTGTGCATGTTTTTACTGTTCTTATAATTTATATTTCCCGTATCGCAAAGAGAACATACTATTGTATAATTTGTTACAAACACTTGAAATTTATAGGACTTAACAATTACAAATTTTATATTTTCAAATTTCAGTTAACCCTTATTGCAATTTTATTATATCTCAATTAATTTGAAAATGAACAAAGAACTATAAAAGAACGAACTACATACATATAGCATCTATTAAACTATGCTATAAATAAATTTAGTAAAATTACATATCCAAACCGCAAACTTTCCTACCATCGAAAGATATCTATTGCCCACCACGAAGACGGAGTACTAAATGAAGAGTGGATTCTTTTTGAATATTATAGTCGGAAAGTGTACGACCGTCCTCTAATTGTTTTCCTGCGAAAATGAGACGTTGCTGATCTGGGGGGATTCCTTCCTTATCTTGGATTTTTTGTTTTACTTGATCAATAGTATCGGATGATTCGACTTCAAGTGTAATGGTTTTACCGGTAAGAGTTTTAACAAAGATCTGCATACCACCGCGAAGACGGAGTACAAGGTGAAGAGTAGATTCCTTTTGAATGTTATAATCTGAAAGTGTACGACCGTCTTCTAATTGTTTACCCGCAAAAATGAGACGTTGCTGGTCTGGTGGAATTCCTTCTTTGTCTTGGATTTTTTGTTTTACTTGATCGATAGTGTCAGATGATTCGACTTCAAGGGTGATGGTTTTACCAGTAAGGGTTTTAACGAAGATCTGCATACCACCGCGGAGACGGAGTACAAGGTGAAGGGTAGATTCCTTTTGAATGTTATAATCTGAGAGCGTACGACCGTCTTCCAATTGTTTACCCGCAAAAATAAGACGTTGCTGGTCCGGTGGAATTCCTTCCTTATCCTGGATTTTTTGCTTGACTTGATCGATGGTATCTGATGATTCAACCTCGAGGGTGATTGTTTTGCCAGTAAGAGTCTTCACAAAAATTTGCATACCGCCACGAAGACGTAGCACCAAATGTAAAGTCGACTCTTTTTGAATGTTATAGTCTGATAAAGTACGACCATCCTCTAATTGTTTGCCTGCA